AATCCAACATAGAAAAAAAAGCCAGTCAGCACTCACCAGGGTTCCAATTGCAAATGCTTGATTTCTCTCTTGGACCCACAATCTGGTAGACAGGAAACATAAACCGAGTTGACCAGGACGAGTCCCCCCTAATCCCCGTCGCTGTACTAGAGGAGTCAACCGGGGAATAGTTAAACCGCAGCTTGTAGTCCACTTTTTTCGTCAGTGTCATTGTTCTGTTGACCTGACTGAAGCTGTTCTGGAACACAGCACCCCCAAGGAACTCATGTTTCACCGCACTGCTTGCATTGGTCGCTGCTGCCACGAAAGCCTCCTCTGAAGGAAATGCTTCTGCAGAAGAAAGCAAACACAATTCGTTATAAGGTACATATTACTAAATACAGAGAACAACCAGTCTACTAAATACAGTCACACCTGTTCTATTGATCAGCTGTCTAAGCCAATAACCTGTACAATCCCACTTACCCCCTTGTATTTTTTAAAACATTATAACTAGACTGTCTGAGACAACCACCTTTCTCCTAGACATGACTCAAACACAGAGGGTTCTTTTAATCAGGCATGCCCACCAAATCAAAAAGGTTGGTTTACTTTGAAACAGATAAACAGCAAAATTATTGCCAAAGACCAAAAAACCAGATTACACTAGAAAAATTAAATACAGTGAAATTTCATCCACTTAAAACAATTTTCACAAGTGCACATACTATAAGAACCCCATCCTTCGCAGAAAATGACCTTAATTAAGACTTCCAACTACTTGAACAGCAAGTCAGATCCTTAGAACAAGTTTTAATTTGCCATACCATATCCTGCTTTTATCTATTTTCAGTTGTATGATCCCTGCATGCAAATCATTCGAAAAATTCTCCATCGGATCAAAAAAAGCTACACATTATGAAAGAGGTATAAAATCAAGGTCATGACACCAGCAGCTTTCACAGTACATGTAGATAGTACAGTACAAAAATCTGTGTCCCTTATAACTGTAGTTCAGCAAAAGAGGGGCACAGGTTGGGGAATGGAATGGTAGAGGGGGTTTGGAAAGGGGAAGGATGAGGGGTGCTATGCAATAATTTATTACAGTCGAACCTGCCCTGACGGCCACCTCTATAAGATGGCTACCTGTACAAACGGCCACTTTCCATTTCCCCCCTTACGTATTTTCTATATAATTTAACTGTGTAAAACGGACACCTGTCCAACGCGGCCGCGGCCACCTTATTTGAACACACAGCCCCTATCACACTAAGCAATAACACCTGTCTTAGGCGGCCACCTTAGTGACTCCATTACGTTTTGTCATAAATTGTGCACTGGCCCCTGGCGTTGTGGGCGAGCCGTCATAATCCAATCATTTGTCGTTGTTGTTAGGTACTCCCTCCAACCGATCATGTTGCGAAGGCCCCTCCCACTGTTGACCAACAGGTACCAATTTTCAGCTGCAGGTGAGGTTAGCGTGCAATCCCTCATAACCCATAAGCCCCGCCCAGAACTCATATACACAAATCGTAAGTGAGATGAGTGGTCACTGTTTACCCAGTCTGTAACAAAGTAACAATGAACAATGAACGTCAACATGAACTTGCGACAGAAGCGCCGCTCACTCTCTGAGTGGTAGCCACCCATGTGTTTATTTTATGATGGCACTGGGTCTTCATCGTCTGATACATTTCTCATTTTATTGTCACCCTTGCGCAAAATCAGCAACAAAATAAAAATAACAAACAAAATACATATCAATAATAACAAAAACAACAACAAGGCGGCTACTTTCGATTGGGACTTCAGACAGGAATGGTTTGTTTTCTTCATCTTGATCAGTCCTGCCTAAGACGGCCACCTGTCTTAAACGGCCACTTTTCTCCTTGACAATGGGTGGCCGTCTTACACAGGTTTGACTGTATTTACATTGAGGTCCCTATGTCAGGCGTAGGTGATTGGACATATGAATACATATATATCAGGATAATCAGGTTTTCACCTCAATTTTTCCCACTCTATTTAGAAGTCCTCAAGCTGAACGCGCGAAAGATAGTTATTAAATGTAACTCTACAACATCCCTTTCAACACAATTTAGATCATAAACACAGATACAACAATTGTACTTACGGGTTTTAACTTTGGTCATCGCTGTCACCCGTGCCATCATGCGGTCAGTGACCTCGTTCTGTGGGGCGTAGCCAAGCGTCCTGCCCAGAAGGTTCTTGGGTATATAAGAGTAGTCACAGGGAATCCAGGTTGTGACATCAGAATGAGGTGTCGAATCAACTCTCAACCTCAGGACCATCAGAATGAGGGAGAAGAGCGTGGGTAACCCAATCTCAAAGCAGGTCAAGATTGGCTTTCGCTTCTGGATGAGGAAGTTCTTCCACAGTAGAAGTCTGAACTTTAAAAAGGATCTCATTTTCGACACAGATTTTTCAACTTGGCCAAGAGATTTTTCAGCAGTGAAGGTGAAGAGAGACTTTCCCACAGAGCAAAGAGATGTCTCATAGGCAAAATTGATCTAAAAACTAAATAAGATTAGCTCTTAATCATGAAGATCACAAGTAGTCTCCGCAGGCTCAGTCTGTTTGTTGTCAAAAGTATGAAACTTTACTGATAAAAAGAGCTTTTTTTTTTACTGTGAACTACTGCAAGACAAGGCTAGAGAATCTGCCTTTCCCACAAAGCGTCCGTTTAGTTCTGATGGACAAAGTGCAAAGGTCATGGCCATACAGTTGCATTAAGCCATATTATCTGAAAGAAAAATGAAGAATCAAATGAGAGTAAGACAAACATAAAAAGTATGGGCTATGAAAAGTCAATGACGATTAACCTTTTTCTGACCGAGCTTGAAGCATTGGGTGAGATAACATAGCTGTGAAACTTGATGATGAAATTCCTTTTTTTTTAATGTTATAAGATAACCTACATGTAATAAAATAAGATGAGATCTAACATGATGAGATAAGATAACTTAGGTGTGAAACTAGATGATGAGATAAAATATGATTTGATGAGATAAAATATGATTTGATGAGATAAAACAAGATGTGATGAAAATAAAGCAATAAGGTGTGAAAATAAATGATGGGGTAAAATACGATTTGATGAGATAAAACAAGCTGAGATGAGAAAAAAGCATGATGTGTGATGTGATGAGATGAAATATAATTTGATGAGATAAAACAAAGTGTGATGAGATTTTTTAAAAGGTGTGATGAGATCAAAACATGTTTTGTTTTTGTAAAGTGTTTTACAGCGCTCGCAACTGTATAAGGTCATATGAGCGCGCGGGACACACCTAATATTTTCAGTTGGTAGGAAATTTTTTAATTTTGCCCGAGTGGCGGCCGAACCCTACTCTTTTCGATTTTAGACCACCAAGGGATCTTTAACGTGCGCAACTTGCACACGGGCCCTCCGAGATTTTTCGCCCTTGTCAGAGAAGGCTAGGTGTAGATCTTTCCTACAAGAAGATCAGGGGTGTGGCAGAAAGACAGCAGTAAGGAGGAGCCAAGGAGTAACAGTAGAAAGGCTGCAAAAAGAGTCAGGAGCCCAGAGGAGGGAGCAAAGGAGGTGAGGGGGTGGGGGGCAGAAAGTGGAAATGAAAGCAGACAACAGAACATTGCTAGAGAGCAGGAAAGAAGGTGAAAGGAGACAATTTTAGAGAAGAAAATATTTTTGGTCGCTACCCGGATTCGAACCCGGGACCTTTGAATGAGAGGCCAACACCTTAACCTCTCGGCCACGAGAGCCCCCTCGATCAAAACATGTTGTGATAAGATAACATTGGACGGTGTAACACCATAATAAAATGAGACGAAAACATAATGTGATATGGTAACAAAGGATTGCACTTAGCAGACCCAAAGTGAGTTTTCATTCGTTCGAGTAAAGAGAAGCACCACAAAGGTCAACTAGAGCAATAAAAGAGTAAGACAGACAGAAAAAAAGAGGAAAAGAAATTACTCTTTTATTGCTCTAGTTGACCTTTGTGGTGCTTCTCTAGAATAGAAATAGGACCTACTCCAGCTAGTGACGCTCTCCTACCACCAACCCTCGCACCAGAGACCCAGCAATGTTAACATTGCCTGCTAGGTCTCTGCTCACACTGTGCAATATCACAATAGTGTGTCATAAGATAACTTTTGTACTTATGTACAGACAGACACACACATACACACACACGTGAGCAGACGCACGCATGCCCGCGCAAATACACACACACACACATGCACGCACTCACGAACGCACACACACACACACACATACATACATACATGCATACATACATATAAACACAAACAGACAGACAGACAGACAGACAGACACAGAGAGCAGAAAGAGAGAGGGGGGAGCGAGAAACATAGATTGATCAGGCTTGACAAAGGCTCAACACGTCCGAATGATCGAACTGACCTTGATCACCGACACTAAAGGCATTGCTCTCAACTCTAGACAAAGACGAGACAACTTGATCGATCGGCGTGAAGAAACCAGGTTATGTTTTTAAGGACGTGCTTACTGGTAGGGTTTGAGAGCATGACAATGCCTCCCCTTCACACACCCCTCCCCCAAATCCCCGGAAAAAATCACACACACACACACATAAACAAACACACACACACACACACACACACACACACACACACACACACACACACACACACACACACACACAAACACATTACATACCATAAAAACGCACAGACGTCCATGGGAAAAGATTACGTTTTGTTGCTTTGTATTGTTTGTTGTTGTTTCGGCTGGTTGTTGTTTTTTCATTTGTTCGTCTGTTTGCTTTGAGGTTTGTTTGTTTCTGGGTTGCTGTTGTTTCGTTGTTGTTTTGTGGGGGGGGGGGGTGTCTTTTTTTTTCTTAGGCTGGGAGGGGGGTGCAGCAGTCGGTTATGATTAAAGAATAAACTGACCTGACATGGATAAAAAGTGGGAAGCCGTGGGAGCTTAGCAGTTATTTTCAACATCTCTGTGTGCCGAAGATTATAAGTGCTACAAGAGAGTAACAAACACAGAAATGGGAGGAGAGATTTTTTTAAATGGTGAAATGGTATGGGTTTAACGCCCCTATCAACACTATTTGGTTATTTAAGAGGCGGGGCCTCCTAGTTTAACGTCCGTCTCCGAAAAGACCGAGCCAAATGGGAAATTCGTGTAAAGTGGCTTTCCCAAAGACACAACGTCGGACCGAGCTGAGGCTGAGGAGAGATCAGGACGAAAGATGTTTGATAGGAAAGAAGGAGCAAGCCACACGAGATCACCTACCAACCACCCACGCCAGTTGGTTTGACCATTTAGTCTTGGTACTAATATCAAAAAGAGTCGTTATCGAGACCGGTTCGATAGAAAAAAGATACCATAAGATAAGATTAATAGTCCGTATTGTCCAAACTCTGGCACATTGGTTGGGCGTTTCATTATACAAACACGCACACGCGCGCACACACACACACACACACACACATACACACACACACACACACACACATTACACACACACACACACACACGGGCGCACACGCACACACACGCACACACACACACGCGTGCACACAAACACACACACACACACACACACAAAGAGCAATTAACCTATATTTTCTTCCAGGCATGGCTAAAACGCACCGTGACACCGTCCCACTATTGCAGAGCAATAACGACTCTATAATTGGATTTCTCAGCCAGGTAATATACATTTTTTTCGAAATTGAGGCGTAATATTTGAAGGTATTCTTCCTAGGATAAAGGGCCGGTCTTTTCTGCCTTACTAGCGGCGACTAGAAATAAGCTTTCTTATTGCACAGTCCCACTTTCTAACGATATTCAGTCAGAAAAGTCAACATAGCTAATAAAAAAAATCAATAATTACCAAACATCGTCTGACCCACATTTTTTTTCTTTGTTAAGTGTTTTACGACGCTCGCAACTGTATAAGGTCATATGAGCGAGCAGGACACATTAAACGTTTTCAGTTGGTAGGAAATATTGAATTTTGCCGGGGTGGCGGCCGAAGTCTACTCTTGCCGATTTTAGACCACCAAGGGATCTTTAACGTGCGCAACATGCACACGGGACCTCCGAGACTTTTCACCATAGTCTGAGAAGGCTCGGTGTAGATCTTTCCTACCAGAAGATCAGGGGTGAGGCTGAAAGACAGCAGTAAGAAGGAGCCAGCGAGTAGCAGTATTAAAGTTGCAGAAAGAGTCAGGAGCTCAAAGGAGGCGAGGGAGTGGGGGTGAGGGGGTGAGGGCAGAAAGTGGACACGACAGCAGACGACAGAAAAATGCTAGAGAGCGGGAACGGAGGTGAAATGGGACAATTCTAGAGAAAAACATTTGTTCGTCACTACATGGATTTGAACCATGGACCTTTGAATCAGAGGCAAACACCTTAACCTCTGGGCCACGAGAGCCCCCTCTGACGTACATCTGAGGCTAGGCTCATAATAACATAGAGAGTAGTCAATATGATTGGGGGTTGGGAGTGGGGGAGTAGTGCTATAAGTTTATCCCCGTCAGCACCCCTCCCCCCCCAAACACAAAAAAATAAATAAATACCCCCCAAAACCCCACCATCTCACTTCTGTTTTTTCTTGGTGTTCTGCTGCTGCTCGCTGTCATGTGTGTTGCGATTTCTGGTGCGTTTGTGTGTGAGGGTTTGTGCCTGCACGTCTGCGTTTGTGGGGGAGGGTTTATGCCTGCACGTGTGCGAGTGTGTGCGTAAGTGTGTACATGTATATGTCGAGTGTGTGAGTGGGGGGGGGGGGTGCATGAGAGAGAGAGAGAGAGAAAGAGAGAAAGAATATGTGTGTGTGTGAGTGAGTGAGTGTGTGTGAGTGTGAGTGTGTGTTTGAGAGGAACCGAAACAGTGAAACAGAATGAGCGAAAAGATGAATATGTGAGCGCGTGTGTAAAGGAGGGAGGAGGTGGGGAGAGAGAGAGAGAGAGAGAGAGAGAGAGAGAGAGAGAGAGAGAGAGAGAGAGACAGACAGACAGACAGACAGACAGACAGACAGACAGACAGACAGACAGACAGACAGACAGACAGACAGACAGACAGACAGACAGACAGATAGAGAGGGGGTGGAAAGAGAAAGTTCGATAGCTTTTCAATAAGAAGATCGCCAAGAGAGCATTCCTTCGTTTACGATATCAATAAGTGCCCGTCATGACTGTTGCTCAGAGGAAAATTATATTTTGATTTCGCCGGTCCTTTTGTCATTTCTGACTCGTGACCCAAATAAAGGAATGAATACTGTAAATCAGATAAAATTTCAAATTCACTGATAAAGGAAGATAAAAATAAAACTTAGTTTCGGAAGCGAATTTTATTTTTTTAATTTAATTTTTTTTTTTTTTTTTTTTTTTTTTTTGTTTTTTTTTTGGGGGGGGGGTCTGTGCAGTGAAGACAAATTAAAACTACTAAAAGGTTTAAATTTTGAACAATTTACCGCATTCAATCAAAATTTATTTCATAAAAAATGGTTTCCTCTTTTAGGTAGACGGTAAATAGTTTCTGTTCTGTTCAAGTCATGTTGAAAAAAAAAATGCCGCAAGGTCAAAATGGATGGCGCTCATATGTCCTTAAGCAGTTGCGAGTGCCGTAAAATCTGTACTATGACTAAAACTGTCAAAATAGGTTTCGTTGGAAATACAAACACACAAAATACAAGAGGCATGTAAACGGCCGCAGAAGGGAATATCGATTGTGCTGTCCTTTCGATTGGATGACAAAATGCG